TGTTAAACTGTATTGGGCAACTTGGCAGAAATGCAGTATATAAATGTAAAAGTAGATAATCTTATATAATTATATATATAAATGTAATATATATATATAAATGTAATATAAATATAAATGTAAAAGTATATAATCGTGCATCTTCAGCGTTTAGTCATGCTGGTCACATGACCATGGAGACATCTTTGGACAGCGCTGGCTCTTCGGCTTTGTAACCGAGATGAGCACCGCCCCCCAGAGTTGAAAACAACTAGCAGGTATGTGTGAAGGGAACCTTTACCTTTATATCATTTTAAATTTTGTTGAAATTTTAGAAATAAAATAGAGCAAGAATTGTATATTCTGGGACCATAGCCATTTCACTGCCAGGAGTTGCAGATAAGTTTTATTTTTTGAACTTTTTATGGATTTGGGTCTCAGCAGGCCACAGGAGGTGTGATGATGATAAAGGAGATACACTGGAATTTTTGGCATGTTTTAGAAAGAAGAGCTGTGTTTTGTTGTATAGACAGATGTAGCCTTTGACCATTCATTCAATGATCATTCTAAGTACCACTGTACTGTAGGAATGAGGGCTGTGACTGGTCCTTGGAGCTCCAGTCATCTCAACACTTCTGCAGTCACATGATCACAATCTGAATGCTCAGCAAGCAGCTCCCTGTTACAACCCTGCCAGAGCTCCCTTACACCCTTGCACACCCTCTGCACCACACCCTCCGATCCTCCTCACAACTTCCCCAACTGTGCCAATTCTTACATACAACCTTTCACCTTTGCGCACCCTCCCCAACCCTTCAGTGCATGCCCATGCTCCCCACCTGGTCAGGGTTGCAGTTGGTCAGGGACTTGCAACTTAATTCTGGTTGTGGAAAGTGAACAAAAAGATGCCTCACCTAACCACCATGGGATTTAGTTAATAACTGGAACTGTAGAGATGGCATTGTTAAGCAGTGTAGTAATACTTTACAATCGTAGTGCTAAGCAATGGAAAATCAGGTCACAATTGCTGTCACAAATCTGGGTAAAATAGGTGAATGGAATCCAATGGAGGCTTAAGCATATATTCTAGTGTTTCTTGGGAAAAAAAGTAAATCTTTGATAAATTCACCAGCCACAACATTTTTTTTTAAAGAGAAGCACTGATTAACCTTTATTTTGCTATATGGGGAATTTTTTTATTTTTAGCGCATGGCACGAGTTAGCCAGGGATCACTGAGGTAGCTAATTGCCTCTGTGAAAGAAATTTTTTCCAGAGGTGTCATCTTTACCCATGGGATAGGCATTCGGGGGAGGCTCCTTTCTTGCCCCTGCATAGTTTATTTGCTCACGGGAATCAAGCCGCCGACCTCAGCGGTATGCAGGCCCAGCGTCTTACCACATGAGACACTGTGGGCCCCCTTATGAGGCATTAACAGTACTATACTAGATAGCACAATTTTTAAACTCCCATTCTTAGACTTATATACCGCTTCACAGTGCTTTACAGCCCTCTCTAAGCAGTTTTCAGAGTCAACCTATTGCCCCCAACAAACTGGGTCCTCATTTTACCAACCTCAGAAAGATGGAAGGCTGAGTCAACCTTGAGCTGGTTAGAATCGAAGGAATCGAACTCTTGGCAGTGTGAGCAGTTAGCCTGCAATACTGCATTCTAACCACTGCACCACCACGACTACCTGCAGTAATGTGAGATGATGGCACCCATCTTGGATGAATTATTCAGTTCCTTACTCTCATGCATATATCAAACCATACTAAACTTAGCTTTACTTACTTATCTCCTGCAGTCGTGTTTTCTGTTTTTTCTTCATTAGATTCCTGTGCATTGTCTCCAATACTAAAACTTGACTCAGAAGCAGTTTCATGTTTCTGAACATCTAGTGGAACCTCAGAAGCACTGAGAGAATCACTGTATATTTCTTCCTTCTCATCTATCTCCTTTAGGCTATATTCAGAACCCATGTCAGCTGTGCAAAAACAACATCAACACACACACACACAAACAAAGTGTAAACTTTGGAGAGTTTCAGTATACAAAAGTATATTACGATTATTATTTTTAAGTTTGAATTACTTGCTTACTGATGCATTTGCTATGCTGGCAGAGGAGCTTTGTCCTATTATCTAAAATCACTATAAATAAGGTAGGGACAATGTAATATATGAAACACTTGTATATTAATAGAAGATGACAGTTTGGCAAATTTATTTGAAAATACCATTAAAGTAATGTTGCCTTCTTTAATTAAACACATAAGAGAATAAACCAACCGAAACACAGGGAGTTGCTTTATATAGAATTTAATATATTTAGACATTCTGTGGAAGAAAATAGAAAATTATCTAATAGCATTACCATAATCAGAGGAAAAGTCTCTGCATATCTCAGCTTCCCCTTAACTTCATTAATAAAATAATATCATATGATTTCAGCACAAATGTGTTGTATCATAGAGTTATGTTAAGAGAAATACATAATCATCTTCTTTTAACCACCCCATAATCCCTTGCAGGGTAGAGTTTGGGCAATAGAGCTAACAGAGTGTTTAATGGCCGGATGCACTTCCAGTCACCAATGTGGAGTTTTGGTCAGCAGATATATTCTCATTGTACCCAGAGAGAGAAATATCTGCCTCTACCTAGGATCAAACAGCCTCCTGATTGTGAGGTGAGAGCTCCACGTCTAGGCCACCGCACCACTCTCAAGACAAATACAATAATGGCATCCTCAAGAAGAAAAAGCAATGAATTAATTTAAAGTAGGGCTATAACACTCAAAGCAAGCACGGGAAGCTGAAAAGAATGGAAGGTCCTTCTTTCCTCCCCAAAACATATATTAAACGGCATCATTACTTTCAGAGAGCTCGTGTTAAATGAGACTAGTATGTATGATTTAGTAAGTTAGTCCCAAGAAGAAAACATGACAGCCACCTACATTTGAGCGACACTTCAGATTCATCTGGAGTATCAGTGTTAACCAAAACTCTACTTTCATCTGCGACTTGCTGGATATTGTTTTGATCATGATTGGTTGGATCAAAGCTGCTTGAAGTACCTGCTGCCATTGGGGTCCTGGTTAGATCAACTACATTGCCTAAGAAGCAGGTTAGGAAACAATGTGTGAATTAACTTGATTAATGTGACAATTAAACAAACACGAGAAGGAAAAAAAGCAGAGGGAACAATGTTAGTTAAATCAAAATGTTTTCAGTCATTTTTGGTAATATTAATAGGCCTGCAGCATTTAGTTAACAGAGACAATCCAATTAACACATTTCTCTGCTCAGCATTAAAAAGAATTGTAAATGTCTCTGATCATCAAGGTATCAGTTCAAAAGAGCCTTACCTTTTTCCCTCTCGTACAAACAGAATTACTACCTCTTCTAAAATATTACCTACTGAAATTGCATGTGATTTATTTAAAAACAAAACAAGGGCACTTATTTTTTTTCTTTTGAAATTATAATCTATTTATAACCACCCAGGTGCAAATGTAATCATTAATCAATGAAATCAATGTGACTAAGCAATTACCAATTCTTTTTTTCTTCAACAATTAATTGTACATGAAATTGTGGGGCTCTGCATAAAACCAGTTTTCTGAACCCACATTTCAATGGCCCCTTTGCTCCAAGACTCAGGGTCACAGCTTCTACCACCTCAGAAATCCTCTTTCCCTCAGGACTGCTATCAGAATGAAGCAAACTGTCTTCTATGCCCAGATTAAGTGGGGAAGAACCTCAGAGCTAGTACCAAACCTTGAAGAAATACAACCATCTTGACCCTCTCGGGAGGAGATTGGGGACAAAGTGAACATTGGTCCCTTTGGAAAACCCAGGCTATTAAACGGGGAAGTAGAATTGTGAATATATTTTAATAGGCAGAAATGCAAAAGAAAAATAGTCAAGGATACCTCTGATATGATTGTGGAGGGAGAAATGGAAAGAGGGAAAGAAAATACAACTATGCTGAAAACTCAAAGGAGGAAGCCAACAAATCGAGTTGCACAGATTAGCTGTAGTTGTAGGAGGATATGCATGCCAAGCAGTTCCAAGTTACTTTTCTTGCTATTTGTAAATAAAGAGATTGGATTCTGTTTTTGCTTCAGCAGTTATCACCTTCCTCCACATCACTGTCAACTATTTAAGCCCTTTCCAGCTTTGATAATGGAAACAGGATGTGTGACTGGACCCCTTTCCCTGTATTTGTCAGAGCCGTCACTCCTATAGTTGATGGGGGTTATGTAGACTATTATTCAATCGCATACTCTCTTAACCTAACCTATTGAAAGACCAGGAACATGGTGTAACAAATCACATCCCCCTTCATCTCAAATAAGGTATCAAATTATTACGTAAACATTATTTTCCAAGAGGAAACTAGTGCAGAATATAAGGCTTCAGTCTCCCTATTTTCAGAGTATTGATTTACATCATATTTCACTGTGGTTGCCTTAAAAAACACCTACTATAGAACAAACCAGTGGATTACGGATACTTTAAATATTTATGTTATCTCTAAATCAATGTGACTGCTTAAAGTGTGTGTGTGTGGGGGAGTTTCCTGAAGATAGGCTTGCAAGTATGTGCCTTGAAGTCAGTGGTGACTGCCTGGACAAGTCCTTGCCATTTTCTTGACAAGGTTTTTTAAAAGTGGTTTTCATTGCCTCCTTCTTAGGTCTGAGAGGGAGTGACTGGCCCAAGTTTACCAGCTGGCTTTGTACTTAAGGCAAAGATTAGAAGTCAGAGTGTCCTGGTTTCTAGTCTAGTGCCTCAACCACTATACTTGAAATATTGCATCCAGTTTTGGTTGCCATGAGGTAAAAAAGATGTTGAGACTCTAGAAAGAGTGCAGAGAAGATGATTAGGGGACTGGAGGCTAAAACATATGACGAATGATTGCAGGACCTGGGCATGGCTAGTCTAATGAAAAGAAGGACTAGGGGAGACATGATAGCCGTGTTCCAATATCTCAGGAGCTGCCACAAAGAAGAGGGAGTCAAGCTATTCCCCAAATCACTAAAGGAAAAGAAGCAATGGATGGAAACTAATCAAGGAGAGAAGCAACCTAGAATGAAGGGGAAATTCCTTGACAGTTAGAACGATTAATTGGTGGAATGGCTTGATTCCAGAATGCTCCAACACTGGAGGTTTTTAAGAAGAGACAGGATAATCATTTTCTGAAATGATATAGGGCAGAAGTCCCCAACCCTTAGTCCATGGACCAGAACCGGATTGCAGCCTGCCAGAAACTGGGCCGTGCAAACAAGCAAAGCCCCATCAATGGATGCAGGCAGCATGCGAAACCACGTCCCCTCCGGTCCATGGAAAAACCTCTCTCCATGGAACCAGTCCCTGGTGGGTAAAAGGTTGGGTGCTGCTGGCATAGGGTTTTCTGCTTGAGCAGTACTTTGGGCTAGAAGACCTCCAAGGTCCCTTCTGTTATCAATCTGGTCCCAATATAGGCTGAAGGAAGGAGAAAACATGAACGTAATTTAATTATGCTTGATTTTATACATTTTAAAGACCAATTCAAGTAAATCAAAATAAAACCACTACTTTGGTTTCATTTAGAATAATATAATCACAAGGGCCGAGAGAAGAATGATAAAGGGGCCAGAAGAGTTTTATGGCAATACTAGCAGATGTAGCTGACATTGTCGTTTTTAATTTTACTTAAAGTTGCATTAAAAATACCTGTTGGAGATTGCGCTTTTGAGTATTTTCCTTTGTCAGTGCTTTCGGTATGAATGGATTCTGCAGATTCGGATCCTGAAAAATAAGACAGGCAAAAATAGGCATTTTGGAAATACTTCCTCTTTATGGCAAAACTGCAACAGTACCCAAATATCTAGAGATGAGCCAGAGATGAGCTGCACATAATGTAACAACTGGTTCGCCTAGTGAAAAGCCGCTTTGGCGGCTGCAAACACGGTGATTTCATGCGTGCGGCAGCCGCGGTAAGTAGAGCAGGTGAGGTGTTGAAATCAGCTGGGCTGTGTGGGCAGGTAAGTGAGTCAGAGAGTGAGAGAGAGAGATATATAGGATGGGATAGCACCAGGGAGGGTGGGCAGGCCCAGCTAGTGGCCAGAACTACCAGTATGAGCGAACCAGTCTGAACCAGCAGCAGCCCACCATGACTGACTGCTTTGCTGCCAGAAAAATAGTAGAACATTAATAGTTGCAAGTTACAACAGCACTGAAAAAAGTGACTTATGACTGTTTTTCACACTTACGACCATTGCAGCATCCTCATAGTCACATGATCAAAATTTAGATATTTGACAACTGGCTCATATTTATGACAGTCGCAGTGTCCCAGAGTCATGTGATCACCTTTTGTGACCTTCGGACAAGCAAAGTCAATGGGGAAGGCAGATTCACTTAACAACCCTTGTTGCTAACTTAACTGCAGTGGTTCATTTAACCACTGTGGCAAGAAAGGGGGCAAAACTTACCGAACAAATGTCTCTCTTAGTAACAGAAATTTTGGGCTCAATTGTGGTCATAAGTCAATATGTAATAAGTAATCAATAAGTAACAAATAATAACTTCCCATCAAATTTCAAAAGTAAGAATAATACAACAGGCCACACTGCTTAGATCTGCACATATACTACACTGATCCGTTACAATAGTCTAGGTTCTTGGGAAGAACTTGATGAAGTACAAAACCAGGTAAAGATGTGACCACAGTGATTTCACATTTGGGGGTATAAAGTAGTAATAATTCAATGAGCCAACTCTGTCTATAAGTTAAAGAAAACAACTGTTCATTACCTTCCATGAGAGGCAAAACTGTTTCAGGTTTTGGGTACAGAATTGTGAAATACTATATTTACCTGTGTCAATGCTAGGGTCACTTTGGCCTTGCAGTTTTCTAGAAGGTGGAGAAGGTGCTTTGCGCTTTGCCCGCTTTAAAGAAGAATTAACTGAAGACGTGCCACTGAGATGAAGAGAACCCGATCTCTCTATTCCCCCTCCTGACAGTCCCTGGGGGAAAAAATGAGCAGAAATGAAATTAACAGAAACATTCAGACACTAATCATTCCCTGTTAAATGAACGGTTGCTGGAACTGGGTATGTCTAGTTTAATGAAAAGGAGTAGGGGTGACGTGATAGCCATGTTCCAATATCTCAGGGGCTGCCACAAAGAAGAGGGAGTCAAGCTATTCTCCAAAGCACCTGAGGGCAGGACAAGAAGCAATGGATGGAAACTAATCAAGGAGAGAAGCAACCCAGAACTAAGGAGAAATTTCCTAGCAGTTAGAACAATTAATCAGTGGAATGACTTGTCTCCAGAAGCTGTGAATGCTCTAACACTGGAAGTATTTAAGAAGATATTGGACAGCCATTTGTCTGAAGTGGTGTAGGGTTTCCTGCCTAGGCAGGGGGTTGGACTAGAAGACCTCCAAGGTCCCTTCCAACTCTGTTATTCTATTTTATTCTAAATGCAAAAACTCCTTCAACATAATCAAGGTATAAATTCAGCAGCACTAATATCTCCCTAAAAGATGTATGTATTTGGTCCTTCCTGAAACAATTGATCATTAGGAGAACCCAAAACTAAGCATTAATTTGGAGTTATGAAAATATGGATATATTTTCCCCACGTATATAAATAAATAAATTCTAATAATACATTTAAGTGACTGTAATTTAATCCAAGTGATTTGTAGACACCAACATCTGTCTGGGATCATAAACCTTCACAGTCCAGACACAATGGTAAAGTTACTAGTGTTTGCTGTAAGAAAAGGAAAAAATGGCAACTTATATTTTATTCATCCTAGATTCTATTCTACCAAGCTATATTTAGCTGAGGGAAAAATCTACTTGCATGTTGCTCAGAAAAAAAAAGTAAACCTTTAAATGTTACAAGTGAGCTAAAGCTTTAAAATCTATCTGCCCGTGCAGACCTCGCTCATTATTTAACAGTGAAGTGGCAGCACTTAGCAGACCTTGGATGATCTTGAAAAAGCTTGTTTAGTACTCAGATGGGAAAGCACCAGGAAATCCCAGGGTCTGTAGGTTAGCCCAGAAAGTCAAAAAGCATTTTAGAAGCCAACAGGGGCAAATGACTTCTATACCGTTACCAAGGAAACAATACAGACATGCCTGTATCATCACCAGATGTTGACTTAAGGGAGACATCATCTTCAAATTTCTTATTAGTGACTTCCTAAACTAAGAAGCAATGCTAAACTTTACAACTGAATAGTTAACTATATAACTAACACACACACACACACATACTCTCACACAATTTCTTGTCTTCAGTGTCACACAATGATTTCATATTGTTATGAGACCGAGAAGATGGGGTTCCAGCAAACTTCTTCATGAGTTAACAAAACCCAACAAAAATAATCTCATGCATTTAGAAAAGTAACACGTCAACAAGCATCCCCTCTTCCAAGACGTACAGGCAATCCAAAATTACCTCTGGTTTGTCCTTTGTGATACTCGGAAAAAAGCTGTGTGTAGTTCTCAAACCATCTGAAACTTTCAATATCGTAAAAGTAGCCTTTCAGATGTACTGGGTTATAGCTCCCCAAATGCCTGCCAAAGTGCCTGGAAATTCTGGTGAGTGTAGTCCATCACACCTGAAAGGCTACGGCTGGAAAAGGCTGACACAGAGCAATTTTAGGTTGCACATCTCATTTTCTTCTCAAATAAGATGAAAAATTTCAAAGAAGATAATCAAATTCTTATATTTTCCATTCAAAACCAAGAAAGCAGACTATACTAAGTGAAACTTATTGTTTTTAGCTGGCTTTCCTTTCCTTTGTCTGATATTGCCACTTTAGCATAGATAAATGCTTTCCTTTATCAAAACAGAGCAGAATGTTCAGCTGGGACAAAGGTGCTTCAGTTTAGTCTAGTGCTAAGATAATATAACAAGTCACTTTGCCTTTTTGCCTGCAATTCTCCTTTTAAGTTACATCTCAGCAGTAGCTGTACGAGACAGAGCACAGCTTCAAAACCGTCTGAAAAACAGGAGACAAAGACACAGGGACCACATAATCAATCCACTGGATTTTATTAGTGCTCCCACTCTAATTAACAAGGAAGAATGCTGAACTTTCAGAAGTAAGAGAAGGTATGATTTAGCTAGAGCAATATCGCAGATTAGTCCCTAGCATTGAAAGAGAACTTCTACATTTTACAAATAAATATAAGTTTAAAATGTAATGTGAGACGCAGGAACCAAGAAATGAAGCACGGCAGATTGCAAGTTTTAGGACAGGAGAACTTGGATGAATAGTAATGGACAGCTTTAAATCAGACGTTTCTGTGTAATTTTCTATATGAAATCATGTCCTAGACAAGATTTACCATTGGATTTACAAAATAGGGCTTTTAAAGCCTAGAAGAAATCTCTTGAGATGTGAGAAAGAAAGTTTGAAAGACGATTCAATCCTATGCCAACAACTTGAGGAATTAAAGATAAGACCATCAGAAGTAAAAGAAAGGAATATAAAGTGGCTTGTTTGATCCAGGAATATAAAGTGGCTTGTATTATCATTTTATTATTATTAAACTCTTCAACAAATGTATTTTTTAAAAAAGATATGAAATCCTATGAGGGAAGGGAATGGCCTGATACTCAAGAAGGTATATGTGTTCCACTATATCTCAATTAACAATAATCCAATCTAACAACATTAGCGGATATTCACTTAGTATCAGTGTTATAGAATGTACAATGTTGCACTGAACATGAAATGGAGATAGGCATAGAAGGATGTTTTGGCAAATTATAAAGTGGTTTTAAATTAAACATCTAACAAAAATGTAATAGTACCAGTCAGTAATTAAAAAACTAAAGCTGGAATTACTTAGACAGGATAAGGTCAACAATATAGGAGATAAGTTAGTAAAGTTTTAGGAAGATAATTTTTTTGATTATTGCAACTTCTGCTGCAAGGAATATAAATACAAATACAAATATTGGACATCAATGGGTAAGCTACATTGGCATTAAATTAACTACATATAATAGGAAATAGGAAACAGAAAAGGTGTATTCCAATAAGCTAGGCCAATTCCAGATGCACATTATGGAAGAGACCATGAATCATTGACATCATATATTTAGGAAAGTAGGTTAAAGTAGGGAGAGTAGCAAGATTTGATCTGCAAACATTCATTCAATCTATGGAAAGAACTCAGTGAGCACAAGAGAGCAGCTGAGGAGCTAAAGAAAGGGATAAGAGACATTGTGAAAACCATAACAGAAAAACTATTTTAAGCATTTCACAGAATAAAATTTCCCAAGTGGCTTTCAGAATCAAATTATTATGATTTTATTTCCCACTATGATGAGAAATCATCATTCTGAAGGTGGCGTACCAGCACCCCATATCTGAAAGAAGCAGTTAAGTAGGAGAGACTTGACTTGAAGTCTCTCACAGGCTGCTAATAGTGTGGGCCAGTGGATGACTGCAGCTGCCAGTAGCTAGCAGTGATGTGAAGAGGGCTAGGAAGTTTGCATACTTATGATGGAAAGCAGATTTGGTGTGAGGGGGGGAGGAATGAACAATTTATTGTGGAGAAATGTATAGAGAAACAACTGCAAAGTTTGAGAGAAGTATAAAGGATTTTGTAAATAATGGAAAGGAGATCACTGGAACTCAGAGTGCAGAAATATATGCATGAAAATGAAAGAGTGGGAACTCAAAGGA